AAGTGACGACAAAGTGTTCCTAACACTTGTAGGCGACGGGTGGGAGGAGACAGACAAGTGGATTCATGCAGTAATGCGAAATAAGTATCTGCTTTCCTTAAAAATCAGCATAGCAAATTTCGGTTTCTAATGAGCGTTCGAACACTGACAGGCACCAATGTAACATCAAATGAAATAAAATAAAATTAAAATTAAATCAAATAAAATTAAATAAAATCAAATCAAATCAAATAAAATCTAAACCTATCATATAAGAAGCAATAGAAGACGTACTGATAATAATTCAAAACACAGTCTGAACTTTCTCGTTTGTTATTTATTTATGATTCTATAGTAATAACAGACGTCAGACACGTCCGTTCTTTAACTTCACTTTTCACCATTCCTGGCTTTGACTTACACGTCTCTATCATCTTAGCGTCTCTCTCGCGTATGTCGGCGTTTCACCTATGCCTATCTAGTCATGGCAGATAAAAGTCTATATAACATGTGCACTTATTTTTGAAAGTTTTTGATGACTTAGAAAATTCCTTTGAAGTATTATCTAATATTTTACTCAAATCTTTTTCAAAGTAATTTATTCACACCTGATGTTAGATAAGGTAAAGTTGTCTTTTCATATCTCTTAAGTACGTATTTATTCTCACACACACACACACATATATATATATATATATATATATATATATATATATATATATATATATATATATATATATATATATATATATATATAGGAATAAAGAGGAATATATATATATATATATATACATACATACATATATATATATATATATATATATATATATATATATATATATATATATATATCTATTCCTTTCATATAGATAGATAGATAGGAAATATATAGAGATAAATAATATATATATATATATATATGAGGAATAGATAGGAATATATATATATATATATATATTACGTAAATAAATAAATAATAGCCTCTCGTATCCGAGTGTGCTTGTCTACTAGGGCGGTTTTTGCTATCCCTATTGCAGGCGCCTCCTCAGGCACATTTGTTTTTGTTCAATACCCACAAAACCCGCCTGTGGTTTATTCTGCAATTCTATAGAGCGAACCTTAGTTACAATTTCTGGGAGAGAGCGCGTATTATCTGGCGTTATCAACAGTTCTAACAAGGCCAATACGCTGAAACCCTCGGTCACGATGACTTCTGATTTCGTGATAGCAGAACCACGGACAGCTCCCAACCAGTTACGTATATCCAATTTCATGCACGAGGTTTGGGTCAACTTTCAAGCAGTTTCCAAAGGTCACCTCCCCAGAGCGATAACATAAAGAAGTCACGTTCTAACTACTCGACCATTACAAATATAAATATATATATAAGGAATATATAAAATTATATGGTAATGGCAGTATTAGCCGTTTCCCTATAAGGAAACATTTGGCATTCATTGACCGAGTAGCCGGTATTGATTTCGGTCGAAATTTATAAAATCTTTCTCTTAAAACACGTTTTTTAGAAAACAGGTGTCTCATGTCCTGTAGCTGTTATCGCTCTTTCCACTATTGAGGGAGGTTTCCTTCCTAACCTTCCATTTGAAATTGTGTGGAATGCTAACATCTTGATTAAGTCCTTATTTTCTCTTCAAGTTATATTTGCTATCTATTTTAGTTGTTGCTGCTGTTATTCCAAAATTTCGCTTGAAGATGAAATGGGACTAAACACCACAATCCAACTTAATTTTAATGATTATTTGGATATTTCGGCTCTCGTTTTTGAAATATGAGAACTCTTATGTAGTGAAGGAATCATATTTTTAAACAAAAAATATTATTATGATATAAGCTCTACTTCTGTATGGAGCACTGTCTTAAAAATAAAAACAAAAAACCGGATCATGCACCCAACGTGTTTTTTTCTATTTTCTGCATACCTACGCACTTATATATATATATATATATATTAGGGTAATATTAGTATCAATATATATATATATATATATATATATATATATATATATATATATATATAGTTCCAAGAGGATAAAATCCAGGTAGAGCTCAATGTCCCAGACAGAGCTAGAATATAATATAAAAGGCTCAAACCTAATATTCTATGGTTATAATTTATTATATTTGAATCGTAATCAGTTAGGCTTATGATCTCTGAATAGAATGTGATTACGATTACAATGTAATAAATTATAACTATATATATATATATATATATATATATATATATATATATATACATATATTATTATTATTATTATTATTATTATTATTATTATTAAATTCAACCGATAAGAAAATTTTGTTTCATTTTTTCTATTTTTATAATTTTCGAATAAGATTTTGTATATACGAATCGAAATAATTTAAATAAATTGTGCGGAGTTCATAGGCTTACGTCATTTTGAAACACCGGTTTTCCGTACGATCACCGAAGTTAAGCAACGTCGAGTCTGGCGAGTACCTAGATAGTTAACTGCTTGAGAATAACAGGTGCTGTAAGCTTGGGTGTGTGGGTGGTGTAATAGATAATGGCTCGGAATTGAAAAGCGGAAAGCCGAATTCCAATTCCAGTTATATTCACACACGCAAATATTTCTTGGAAAGCTATGAATATATTTTCTCCCCCCCCCCAGCTATAGGTTAACTAGTAAGTCTTGTATCCCTAAAACCATTATTATGTAAAAAAAAAAAATAATAATTAATAAATAAAAATAAAAGTAAATAAATAAAATTGCGTACGAAATATTTAGATTCCGGCATTACATAACCCATAGATGTGGTGATATGCCGCTAGCAAAAAACAAAACAAGACAAAACAAACAAAAAACACGCAAAACAGAGTTCATGCTTGATTTGGAATTTAGTTTTTTCATCTCTTAGACTGTTTACCGCCCTAATTAGTCCATAGCTTGCAAGAGACGGGTTCATGCCTTTCTCAAGGACATTTGTGCGAATGTTAACACAATAGACCTGTTAAGAATTTGAACTCGTCTCGCCGATTCCCCTTCGCACGACGATATTTGTCACACCACCCGCACACCACTCTTCATGTACTATTCATCAAGTCGGACGGCGCCAGATGGTTCCCAGTAATGGAGATGAATCTCTTTCGTTTCTTTTTAACGCATTTATTTGACTTGCCCATATATTTTTAAGTCCATCTCTTCCCCCCCATTAATACTAAACAGGTTACCATGGACACGATGGGGTATATTCGCGACACACAGATTCTGTGAAAAGAAAGCTATTTTGAAGTGATTCAATCCATCTTATCATTTTTTTTCTTTACACAGTTCAAATTTCACGGAAGACAAAAACTAATTCCCTTACTGAAGCTAAAGTGGTTTCAGTTTCTTCATTTTTACAACTCTCAGTAGATAAACAACTTTACTATAAACAAGATTTCCAAAAATACTATATGGGCCATGAAATATATCAGTGTCGACAGGCATTTCGTCGGAGAAGGATTTGATTTGATAAAAGCCAACGGCCAATGTTTGCAAACAGTGAAATGATTTAAAACAAATACTTCGTGCAAAGAAACGAAGCCCATAACATGTTTGGGTTGGAGTTGAATTCAAGTCGAAATGAGGAACTGTGATATTTTATAACCCGCTTGATGGCTGAGATAGTTGTATATTTTCAATTTATACCTGTCTTCGGATTCACGGTGGAGTAATTGATTTCGGCTCGGATTGAGGAATCGGAGAGCCGAGTTCGAATTCCAGTCGAGTTCATTGCATTCACTTACGTGCTAATACCCTTGACAAAGGTAGGAATAGATCACTTCTCCTCCGGCTATGGGTAAATATCAGGACATACGGGGTTCTATAGCATTGGGTGGCAATCAGTCGAGAAGAAGTTTGAAGAAGTTTGCGTGTTCATATCACGTCGGGGTCACCATTGTAATGGGATTGAATATTGGGCTGTTAAAGTGATTTCCCTGTTGTTATTTGTATTTGGCGTTGATAAAGGAATCCTTTTCTTTTTTTGTACTAAAAATGAAATAAATAAAACGTAGAACAATAACAAACAACAATGTGATCTTCAGACACGTATTGAACTTAATGACAAGAATGTGTATTTTTCTTTTCGTGATGTTAATTACAATATTGCTGTTGTGCTTGTTAAAAATGTCCCCAGTGTTATTCTCCCTTTTGTTTCTTTAAAAAATTGTACTTACTTGTTTTTGTTTGTTCCGAGAATTTCGTTGTTAAGGGTTGCGTTTGAGACCGTCAACTATCGATTTTTACGGAGCGAAGAAGAGGCGTCTGTGTTGTTCTTTTTACTACTGCTACTCCACTGACCTGACCCCACTGTTTTTTTTGCTTGTGGTGGAAGGGTCGTTTTGATAATGATGAAGTTTCAGATTTTAGAATGATGCAATATATATATATATATATATATATATATATATATATATATATATATTATATATATATATATATATATATATCATCACTGGTGGGAAGGTTGTTTTAGATGATGAAATTTTTAGCTTTATTTCCAGAATGATGAAATATCCTTATCATTTTGAGAAATATTTGCCACTTAATAGATCAAAAAATATTTAATATCAATCACATATCGCGGCGTAACAGTTATGAAATCAACTTCTTTATTTAATAACGCATAACAACAAACAGGCAAGGTTACTAAGACGCAGGTAGATGGTTAATGAGTGTGAAAGAATATAAGAAAAAAAAGCGACAAAAACAAAAGAAGAGGAATTAAGAAGACAGAAGATAACGAATGACATTGCATTTAAATTTTTCAAGATCAAAGTTTACTGGAAAGCAAGAAGCCGAAAAAGAGTTCTACAAACGAGAAATGCCAGAGAAGAAACTGTCAGCATAGAACTTACGGTTACATCTAGCCATTTCAACTGTAATATGCTGAGACCTTGCCACCAATCTAGTACTGCAATTAAATTCATAAAGTCTAAGTACCATAGAGAAAAGTTCATCAGAACAATTACTATGGAAGTAGTTATAGAAAATGCACAGCCAATAGTAATTGAATTGTCACTATAGTCCCCAGATGATTCTTTCATGTGTTTTCGACTTTCGTTATTGCACTCTGTTAGCTATTTCTTTTTTAGGCGAATAAAAGATACATGTGTTAACAGAAATAAAAACAGAAAATCTTTCTTATCTTTCTTATCTGGATTCGGGTGGCTGTCTCTTGGTAGCAGCGAAAAGCACTGATTAAAGTTGTTAATATTTCCACATGAAAAGTCTGGTTAATTATTACAGAGTGAAATAGAGCAAAGGGTGATTTGGCCAGACATGCGTCTCGGATTAGGATTGCAATCATGAATGAAATAGGAAAGGCCGAGGCAATGAAACTGGAGAGTGGATAGGAAAAGCCGGGGAAGAAATTGATGAGGAAAAAAAGAAGCTGGTGAGGGAAAGAAAGAATTAAAGACAAGATTGGTAAGAAAAAGTTGACAGAAAGAAACAAGTTGACGATTCAAGACGATTTGGGTTACGTAGAAAGACAGCACGTCAAAACAGAAAGAAAGAAAGAAAGAAAGAAGGAAAGAAAAGGAAGAAAATAAAATAGAAAGCAAAACGAAAGAAAAAAGAGAATAAAAAAGTGATAGAATAAACGAATGAAGGAGAGAAAAAAAGTGGGTAAATAGAAAGAGAAGGAAATGAACAAAAATTGAAAGATTTCGAGAAAAATAAATCAATGAATAAGAAGAAATGAATGAATGAAAGAAAGAAAGAAACGAAAAAATAAGCTGAAAAATGGTTTAATAAAAAGAAAAAGAAGGTTGAAATAGAGAAGATATCATGAGAGGGGGAAAGAAGGAAAGAGAAAAAGAACGAAAAGGATTAAGAATGAAAAAAAAGTAGGCGGGAAAATGACTTTGAAGCAAAGAAAGAATAGAAAGAAAACGGGTTGTTATGGAAGGAGAGGGAGTAGGAGAGAAAACTACAATAGCGATTTTCTAAGCGGAGCTTAGATGTGGCACAAGGCCAAAAGAATGGTGCACCCAGTGAGGATAGAACTCATTACTCTGTCATAATTGATCGAGTTTGACAACCATTAGATAACGTTGAAGTGCGAAAAAATGTTGGAAAAAAACTTAAGACATGGAATGGAAAGGAAAAGGGTTGTAAAGTGGGGAGTGAGAGTAGGAGGGAAAGGAGTTATAGGAGAGGAAATTTGTTATATTAGGAAGAGAGTGAGTAGATGGGAAAAAAGTGCTATGAAGAGAAGAGAGTAGATGGGAAAAGTGGTAGGAGGTGACTTTAGAAAGAGTGTTGATCGTAGGAGACAAAAAGATTTTGAAAGATGACACGTCCTTTCTTTATCTTTTGAATTTTTTTTTTACGTAAAAACGTCTCCAAATTAACCTGAGGACAACCACCAAGCACAAATAATACCTACAAAACGAGTACACGTACACACACACACACACACACACATGCACACAAATATACACACATGCAAATACACACACAAACATATACACACAAACACACACACAAACATACACACACAAGCTCACACACACAAGCACACACACACACACACACACAAACACACACAAAAACGTCCACACACAAACACATACACACACATGCACACACAAACACACACAAACATACAAACACAAACACGCTGACAGACATATACACAGAAACACGCACACAGATAGACACACACAAATACACACACAAACATACACACACAAGCGCACACACATACACACACACACGGATATACATGCGAATTCCATATAGACAAACTAAGATTATGATACACTTACATGGATTAAGAAATATTTACGTTTTTGCAACTGAAACTTTAGGAATAACTGAGCAGACGATGTGCGTACATGAATGCCATCATTCGCTTTGAAATAGACACCCCACCCTACCTCAGCTTGACCTCTTCCCGAAAGTGACTGATATGTTTATAAAAATTAACTCTTAGGCCCCTTATCAAAAATGGTCGCCCCAGCCGTTTCCATAGTAATGAATGAACATACTTATAAAGATGCGTAAATTTCAAGATTGGTTATTCCTAAATTTTCGTTTGAGGATGAAACAGGGCTTGTTACTTTAATTCTATTTAATTTTAATAATTATATTGATGGTTTCGGCTCTCATTTTTGAAACATGAGAACTCTTATGTAGCGAAAGAATAATATTTTTTAAAAATAATTATAATATATATATATATATATATATATATGTGTGTGTGTGTGTGTGTGTGTGTGTGTGTGCGCTCGTGTGTACGAATGTATATCTGATGAGTATTTATTACATGTTAGTTATTTATTAATATCCCTTCTCGGTATTTTCTCAGCAATATTTTGTGTTCATTTTTTTTAAAGGTGGCATTTTTAAAATCAAAATTATGGCCTCATTTGTTTCTATGTTCCTAAATATGAAATAGAAAGATTTTTAAATGTCTCACCCATACATTTATTATAGACACAACGTTTCGGCCAAGTATCTATTCTCTGTCCATCATCAGGTATCC